ATTTGGAAGTTGAAATTTTTGTGACACTTTGCCTGGTGATTTTGGATTGTAGCTTGGACATTTTGAATATTGTGAAATTCTGGGTCTTATTTCGATCCTGTGATGAATGGCAGTCTTTTTGTTCTGACAGGTGACAAACCTGGTTAGAGGCAGGATGCAGTTACCAGTCCGCCTTCTGTAGGCTATGGTTCCAACGTCAGTTCAGTGTTCAGTGATGCAGTTCTCTTTGGTTCTGTGTCAGGTTTATGTGGCCCAGTCTGGGACCTAGGCAATCCTGGACCTAGTCAGTTGGATAGTTGTTCTGAAGATCTTTCAGTCTGCTGAGTAGGATCAGATCCAGGCATTAGTGATTTGAGAGTGAACCTTGAGGTTTATAATCAGCTTTATGGGCTTCGTTTCCTGAGCTCCTCCGTCTCCGTGAACTGACTGCTTCCTGGTTCCCTGGGCTCCCTTTTTTGGTCCTCTGGCTGGAAACTTGGAGATCTGTTTACTCTATTCTGTTGCTCTATGTCTCATACCTTCACGATTGGGCCTACATCCTGACCCATGTGGACAGGGGGACAGGGAAAAAGCAACAGTGGTTTGCACTAATGTTTTGTAATCATAACTATCACACAGAGGAAAATTCTCCTCTCTCAGCTGTCGTTCTCGTGGGTTTCCATAGTTGCTGGCCACCACGACAGGGCTGTCTGGGGAAGTCTTTGGAAGCCAATGGGAAGTCTCTGCTTCAACTAATATAACTGCAAATGTAGTAACTTCGCCTTGTTTTGAAGCCCTGAAGAAATCAACATGACCTGTGTACAGATTATTGCTCAAGAGGAAGTAGTATGATGCGCATACGGGACAGATAACCCCTGTAAAGTTGAACAATGATCTGATCTGACTTAGTGCCTAGGGTGGAAAAACAGTGGTGTCTGATCAGACAGACCTCATTTTATTTATAATTTTAGAAGTGTTTACAATCTTTCAAGTGTCTAGGCCAAATGGCAGGGTTGTAATTGCTGTGAAACGGTACCTACGCTTAGATGTGAATCTTAATTTTTTATGTACCGTGTCTCCCTTTTAAAATACTGTTATGCACCTGCAGTCAGGAAATACTTTGGGGAATCCTTTTGTTTTCATGTAATTTTATTTTTAATCCATTGGCTTTAGTACTGGCTGCCTTGCAAAGAATACAGTTGACTTTAACGATCCATACAGAACCATTTTTCAAAGAGGGGCTAAATTTCATATTAAAACATAATTCATTCATTGTTTTCCAACACATTTTGATTGCTTAAACCGTGCCAGACTTGATGCCTTTGAGTTTTGTCACACTGTTATCATTATTACTCATCTGAGTTATAGATATTTATTAGATAAAGTTGAATTGTTCGTTTGCACGTTGGTAGCATGTGCTAAGACTGAACTTCATGTTAGATTGTTTTTAAAGTCTGGAAGTGGGGCTGGATGAGCTGACAGATTGAATGAGGTAGAATCCTATCCTGGCATGTTTTTGTTTTTGTTTTCCCTCGTACAGAATGAAAAACACTAAATTGCTGTCATTCTGTCTACATCTGTTGGACCTGCTTGCTCCTCCCTGTCTTTGCTGCTTCTCTGGTCTAGAGTAATGGAAAGTATTGTGGGTAATGAGATTGGATAATGGGGTGGGGGGGGAAGCAGCATTATGAGTTTCTAAAGTCATTCAGAGGAAGCTGTATTTAATGAGCATTTAGAGAGCCACTCAAGATTCTTGAGCTGAAGAAGTAGAAGTGGAACCGGGGAAGCTTGCTTTGTTACTATAACACAGGATGGCTTCTGGCGGGAAGGAAGCAAAATGTCTAAAGAAAGGTTGGGTCGTGAACTATGGTAAATAACTTGCCTAAACCTGTGTGTAAACAGAAGAGGCTGATCTAAGGGGAGGTTGATAGGCCACTGGAGGCTTTGAGTGGGCCAGGGGCTAATTCCAGAGAACACAGGAAAGGCGGGGTCCCTGGCAGGTGCTCTGGCTCTAGCAGGTCAAAGTCCACTATGCAGAAGGGCCAGCCGAAGGTAATCAGGAAACCAAGATAGGGGAAATGTTTTAAAAAGGCCTGGACAAGAGTCTGATTCAGCAGAAATTCCCTGTACTTCCTGCTTGAGGCCAGAATTGTTTGTGTGGTGTGTTGGGGGTGTGTGTGCCGGAATGGAGGTGGCCAGTTCCTCAGAGTGACTCTGCATACAGTTACCAGTGGAGTCCCGGAGTAGGGAGTGGGAACGGTGAATTTCAAAGATTTCCAAGGAATGAGGAGGACTTTGCAATAGGGGATTCGGGAAATGGGAAGTAAAGGCAATGTTTAGATTTCTAAGAATACTGTAAGGAATTCTGACAGAAATTGGCAGTTGAAAAGAGACTTGAGTGGGAATGATAAACGTATTTTTCCTCTTTGTTGAATTTGAGATGCTGGTAGTTCTGCCGTGGTTGTGACAGGAAGTCATCCACCCACAGCCTTTGATTAAACCTACAAATGAGGGAGGAGTGAAGCTGTATTACTGGGAGCTACAGAAACGGTTAGGAAGGGCTTGGAAGCAGCACATGTAGGCCGCCTGTAAGATATCTGACAACAGACACACTGAGGACAAAGCCCCTATTATGGGGCAGAGAATGATAGTAAAGAAGAGGCTGCTTTGATTGGCATTATATTTGGTGGGAAGAGTGGGATCTGGGGTCTTGTGGAGAAGTTGTTTTAAAAAAGAATTTCTTCTGATTAGAAGAAAAAAATTGGAAGGATAACGGAGGCTCATGTCAGATGCTTTTGGTCTTCATTTCTTAAAGCTGGGATCATAGAGCATGAACTGAGAGAACAGTTTGGGGTTCATGAAAATATCTGGAAATAAATACTTTGTGAGACTTGTTTCTGAGGTAAAATAATGAATAAGAGGATCCACAGTGAGGATTTTCACATTAAGACATTTCCAGTCTCCTACCCTCTCCTCTCTCCTGATGAGCTCTGCTGGTTCCTGGCCCTGAGAATCATCCTTCTTTCCTTAGTCCTCTAGACTCTATTCTAGAAAGTATTAAGTTCACAGTGTTCTTTTCAGTTCATCAAACTAGTAGACACAATTCAGGTAAAGACTTTTATTTAAACAGAAATTTTATTGGAAGAATTTTGATACATTGTTTATTATTATTTTTAAATACATCTGAGGTTAAACAAAATATATACATGAATGTCTTCAAGTAGAAAAAAGTGAAATATACATTATGGATTTGTTGTGTTATTCTTAGGCAAATCATAATTGCTGACTTTAGCATATTCAAACCAAATCATAAGTTTTTGACATTTGATGTGCCAACCTAGCCTTGTAGTCACACATTTGTTTAGAAATGTTTTGATGCCATAATCTTCACCAAAGGATCAAACCCAAATTCAAACTTGGCCATATTTTCAGAAACCATTAAAGACAGGAAGGTAAAGTGTTATAGGGGTGTTCAGAATAAACCAAGAAGGGATTTGGCAATTTTTCATTCACAGTATTTCTGATTTTATTAAAAGACCCATTCTGTTTATTGATCAAACTCACAAACGTTCAGGCAAAATATCCCTTGAGCAGAAATATCACTGAATTTGCTGTTATTAGAGGAAGCAATGAGAGTACTTGGCTAACTCTTGACAAGATACGTCTGCTTCAAAGTAGAATCTTCATTGAACTTAAAATTGATGTGTGACATATGATACATAAAATTCAAAGACTGAAATTCAAATAAAGCTTTTTCCCCCCACTGGTGAAAAGGGGAAGTTTTACATTGGCAGCAGCAATGAACAGAGATGCAAAATCAGAATATAGAGAAGCTCTGCTAAAAGTTAATATTTAGAGGGGAAAGAGAGAAGATTAAAACTATCTTAGGAATATTTAAATCACTTAATGTTGTATTGTTTTTATAGAAGTACCTTCAAAATACACCTTTGAAAGAGTTTGGGATAAATGAAACAGAAAGCATGTTATACACAGATCCTTAAATGGCGATTTTTCATAAAAACAAAGGAGAATGTGGTTTCTCATTTGGCTACACAAAATATAAAAATTCAAGTGACCCAGGTTCCACACTCCCAGTTCTACCAATTTCCTGTCCAACAACATGCAAAATGGAAAACGTCTCTTTCTCTATACTCCCACTGTTCCTGTATTAAAATGAAGGAGCAGCTCAGAGGGCTACTTGAAAATACAATGGCCAAAGTGACTATAAAAAGTCACATTTGTGCAAAGATGCCAGAGAAAAGCTGAGATGTCTTCTGTAATAAACAGCAAATTATGGTTTTAACTGTCCCCATCCCTTACTTTTGTATCCACTACTGTCTACAGTGTTTACTGAGCATGTAGGTGTAGATTCATGCTAAGTTTGGTGGTAATAGGAATTATGAGACAAACACATTCTTTTTTACAGACTTTCCATCATGATCAGAATTTCAAATACTACATTTTCAAAGCCATGGGAAGAGTTCAAAGTTAAATGTTATTATTAAATGCACAGATTACTACTGATTATGAAACAGAGTTCTTTTTGAAAAGGCGTCTGTAAAGGAGTCGATAAAATGTAATGCTGTGAATCAAATCCTATGTATTCCTCTCATGCAGCGCAAAGTTATTCACACTTCTTGGAAGACAGTTCCCCCAGAACTAAGTTAATGTCTGTTGGCCAGGAATTCGAATTCTCTTTACTCACACTGGCACCCATGCTGAGTCAAGTACCTTTCAGGCAGTTTACTCTGAGTGTCGAGAAAACTTTTTACTATTTTGTTTTTAAAGGGTCTTAAAACTGCTTAAGGGAGCTCTGACTGCTCTTCTCAGCCTGCACAGCTGAAGTGCAGTGGCAAAGGTAATAAGCATAGAAGAGCATCCAAAGAAGGAATGAATCTAAACAATGTATTCATAACTGCTCCTCTAGATCAATTTTGTCACGGTGATTGTTCACTGATTTTATAGGAGAGTGTGTTTACATCTGCCACACCTTCTTGGACCTTTAAATCATTGTAGGGTGACGTACAAAACCAGAGCGTCATCAGAAAAAGCACTGGATTGAGAGGCCGCTCCACCACCGGCCGGCCCCCAGGCAGGTCTCTTACCCTCTCTTGAAATAGCTTCCTCTTCTGTAAAATGGGGTTAAGAATTCCTTCCTCACAGGAGTGTTGGGAGAATCAGAAGAGAAAACATACCAATCATAAAATCATGCAAAACTTTGTCTTTATAGACATGTGAGGATTTTAAACGTGGTAACATGAAAAAGGCCATACAAAGAGCGTGACGCATACTTACTGGTAGCTAAGCCCCACCCTTTCTTTCTGTAAACTTTGTAGTTAGGAAATGATTAAACATAAACCAAAGACACCCTCATCAGAGACTCACATCAATTTGACCTTGAAATAGAGCTATACTTCTTTGCAAACACATTTTGACGTATAATCCTGCACTGTGATTTAAGTCGGACTTGACTCTGTGGTAGAGGTCTGGACCCCTAAGGCTTGTGGGCAATCACGTCTTGCAACAATCTGCCTCCGTTAATAAAAGTTTTAATGACTGTTCTTTCAAAGAATAAAGTAATTTCCTTTTTACCAAAGTTCTCTGAACTGGAAAATGATTTGTTTTGAAGATGGTGATAGAAAAAGTTTAACTTTCTCAAGGTAACACTTCTATGAAGAGTTAAAAGTTGCAGTTTAGCCTTTGGGATTCTGGTAAAACTTCAAAAAGTTTACCCTATTAAAATTTTTATTTTGTTCTAGACAACATCTGATGCCCAATTTTACACGCCTCTGAGAATGTCAACAGTTCAGAAGCTCTCCAGTGACTGAAAACTTAACGTACCAGGAATGAAATGATATGACCTGTGCACTAGTGTGGTTTCTAAAAAGTACCAATTCACAGAATATAAACAAGACAAAGAAACTAAGCAATCCTTAAACTGGATTTAGCCTCGGGCAATTAACAGAAAAATTCACTCACAAGTTCAAAGTATCCAATGCACAAATGTCATTTTTTTAAAAAATCAGGAACTGGTTTCACAGGAGTAAAAAAGTAAAAAAGAGTAAAAAAATTAATTATATCTTTCATAAAGAATACTATGGAAATAATATTTGAAACCTTATAACTAGCTATGAAAAATAAGACAATAAAACTCCATTTATAAAGTGCCTTAATGTACCAAAAACAGAGATCAAACGTCCTTTACTTAAAGATGCTTCTTCATCACGTTTACAGAAAGGCAGATTTTACTCTGGAGACGCAGCACAGTGGAGCAGAAAGAACTCTCGCCTTGGAGTCAGAAGACCTGCATTCTGGCCTTGGCTTTGCCCCTAATTATCTCTGTGACCTTGAGGAAATGAGAGCATTTCTGGGCTTCAATTTTTCTCCTCTGTAAAATGAGAGGTAGGACACGACTGCTTCTGAGATCGGTCTCCTTGGATGTTAAAGCAGTGAATTATTTTTGTTCTTAAAATCTTATGTTGCTACCATATTCATAATAGCTACAAAACTGATTATTCCATAGTCGGCAAAAACATTGGTGAACTCTGGCCAACTGCATCTGGAGTCAGTGATTTGGCTGCTTTACAAACGTGCACAGAAGTCACAGCAGTTTGGCTACTGGTGTAGATGAGGAGGCTTTGAAGAATGCCGAAACCCTCCAGATACACGGGAAATCACAGTGCTAGCATCTGGCAGCACTTCCTCATGCCTCTGCAGAGGACGGCGTGGGCTGACAGCGTGAGGGACACTGAGCTGCAGACACACTGGGCGCTTCCTTCACAAAGTGCATAGGGAGTCACAGAGGGCAAGCCCTTTGTCCTCATCAATACAATCTACATTTAAAAACACAAAACTGGTATAGGTATATTTCTGTTTGGGAAAGTTTATTTGGCTAGGTAAACTTTCCCGGAGCAATACAAATTTGTTCTCCAGAGAACATTTTGTTTTTTAAAATATTAGCAAAGTTATACTCAGAGGCTTTTTTCCTCCAAGAGTTAGCCTAACAACAGAGACAGCTAAATTTATTTTGTAAGAATAATCAAGTAGTATTTCTCAGTGAAATTATCTACCTTAGCAATTCATCTGTGCCGAGAACACTGATAACACAAGTATCTTCCTAAGAGTGAGAAAAAAGTTGCTTTTTCTCACACTCATTTTTTTCCTGCTTAAACATACAGGTTTAAGAACATTTAATTAAAGCATAAATGTTAAGGCCAACCAGACGTGAGCCATCCATCTCTGGTAACAGGTGCAAAATTAGAGTTTCATATCGGTCAAATATTCTATATATACTCTAACCCTTTATCAAAGAAAACAACCAGCCTCATGCACTTGTGTATTGAAGAGTGTGGCTAATAAAGTGATGCATATTTTGACAAAAAACTTCACTTGGAATGGAGGGCTCAGTAAAGGCAGAACTGGATCTTTAAAACGCACTGGTAAATTTTACAGGCCAGTGCAAGCATGATCTCCGTGTGTGAAATATCAGCACAATCCCAGATAATTAGTTTTTAAAGGCACACATCCCAAGTCCCTGCCCTCATCTAGAGCTGTCATTTCCCACAATATGCCAAAACCTACAGAACAGCCCAGGCTTCTATCAGGTGTGGTATGGATGCAGACTTCCAAGTGACTACTGAACACTTACAATGAGAAAGCAGTACCATTATCAGGACATTCCCTTTATGGGCCCCTCCTAAAACATCTTAACAATTGTTTCAGCTAAACACATTCTAGTGCAGGAATTCTTAGCTTTAGAACTGCCTGCAGTAAGTAAAAATGTTTTGAAAATACTACTTAATCTGCAAAAAGGAGACTACCAACAGCTCATGGCAATCTGCAGCAGTTTAGAAAAGCATGAAGAAAGTAGCCTTAGTGTTCCTAACACGGTATAGTTCAGAAATAGGGGAAAAGATACTCCAAAACGTAGACAAAATCAGCAGTGATTTCTGTCACATCAGTGAAAAAGTGCTTATTACTGATCTACATTCTAAATATTCATTTCCATCCTGCAGGGTTTTCCCCCCAACAATTTCAATTTTTCCCTTTCAGTTAAAAGGGAATATACATTGTGACAAAATGAAGTACAATGGGAAAATGTCTAGCTAGATCAATATTTCTTTACAAAACAGAGAATATTTAAGCAGAGTTCGTTCAAGCACTTATCTCAAATTGCAATTTTATTTTTCAAATACACAAGAACCTAGGAATCAACTTATTTATTAACTTCTAAGATACCTGTGTTAGGAAGAGTTCGATCTTACCACATTTACTCTGTACCTTCAATACTTCAAACTCAGTAAAACGTGGCTTTAGGATCCTGAAAGCAACTGTATTTGGGAAGCGCTTGCAAAGGAAAACAAATTGTATGATTTGGCATTTGAGGATGAAAAAAACAAAACAACATCGTCACCACCATTGCTGCCTTCACTCTGCATGCCTTTTTCTTTCATTAATAGGATCTATCAAAACAGCAAGGACAGATACAGGAAAGTTTACCATAGACACAGCAGCTTTTATAGAAATTTAGAATTTAGAAGATGTTTTAAGTAAGTCAAAAACACCCATCTTTTGCTAAGTTTTGAAAAGACAGTCCACAAAATAATTTAATGTAATAACTGAATTTGATTTAAAAACCAAAGTAACACCTTTTATTTTTTGATGGGAAAAAGCAATTAAAGGAAAAATTTTATATATCTAAACCTATGCTAGAAGTACACAAAAAAGACATCTGTATACATTACTAGTAAGAGTCTTATTTTGTACAGATTACAGAATATCCATAAAAAAAAACATATACATGACCTTTGATGGTACATTTCTATGCTGGCAAATACATTTTCTGATACAAAGGCACTTTGAAAACCCAATATGGTTTGGTTCATAAGTTTGCAAGGTACAAACAATTTTACAAACGTATGATTATACTGAAGAACGTCAACAACTGTGACATTACATATAAAACAGTATTCCGTTTCCTTTTTTTTTTTTAAATAACACTGGTTTTGTGGGAATGAAAGCAGTGGTTTCCAGCAGCTTCAGTGAAGACATCCCAGATGATTAGAGGCCCACAGTCTGAATTTCTTACTGGCTAGGATGAGGGGCGGGAGGGAGGGCATTTGAAACAAACAAACGGAAGAAACAAATAAACAGAATATGATACCCTGGAATAAAACCAGAAACCTCAGAAATCGAAATGGTTTGGAGGGAAGAGCACGAAAGACAAGACCAAAAGTCCAGGAGAGATCCTGTTAATTCTGACCCCTTGGCTGTAAACTCCTGGCTGAGCACAGATGCCTGGCTCCCCCTGGTCTGCTTGGTGCTGGGGAGCTGTAGTGATGATTTCTCTATTTTAAAAAGCTAAGTACAATGTTTTGGGTTGTACAGTACCAGAAAAGTTAGGTCCCCCAAAAAGCGTAATTTCTTCTCATTCATTACATGGCCGCAAAGTCAATCTGTACATAAAGCTGTCTCACTCCAGCCTGAAAAAGTTTAAAAAAAAATTAGAAAAATCAAACAAACCAGTAACAGACTATACATTTCAGAAAAGTAGTAGGAAAAAAAATCTCTCTTTTTTTTTTTGGAAAGGGAAGAATTATTTTTCTCTTCTGTCACTGGGAAAGAATTCTCCACTTTTCATCATAAAATGCCAATTACTTTATTTTAGAAACAAGTATATCAATAAACTGCAAAAGAGATTCCCCATTTACCTCCACAAAAGATGGCTATGCTCTTGCATGCCACGCCCAAGTGAATTTTGGCAAAACGAGGGCACCCACCCACCGTGGTTCTGCCAGAGAACAAGAACACCACAGTGTTGACCAGCTGGCTACTAAAATCACAAATCCATCAAGTCTAAATCTTCCCATGACAAACGATTTGTAAACATTCAAATAAGCATAACCATCTATTGGTTACTGAGTGACTTTACACTCCGACTCCTCTCTTCAATTTTGTGTGTGAACTTGCTACTCAAGGACACTGCGCTTACAATGCCCCCATCTCTCCTCCATTATCAGTTTTTCCTTATTTGCTGCCTGCAATTCCTTTTCTCTCTTTTCTTGACCCCATTTCAACCAAACTTTTGCTGCCAACCACTTCCCTAAACTGTCAAGGGCACCTCTAAATTGCTCAGACCAGCCACTGATCAATTCTCAGTCCTCCTCTTTGTACTTAACCTTAACCTAGCAGCAAGGACCCAGGTGATCACCTCCTTCTGTTGAAACATTTTTTCTTCTCTTGGCTTCCAGAGAATACTCACTGGTCGCCCTTATACCTCACTTAACAGTCTTTCTCAGTCTCCTTTGCTGGTTCTTTCACCCTCTCTCTGAACACTAAACACCAAAATACCCAAAGGCTTGGTCCTCAGACCCATTCTTTTCCTATAGTTGTTCCCTACATTATCTCACCCAGTAACCAAACTTTCAGTACCATCTACATAGTCACAGCTTTTGTAGACTGGAACCTATTTACCATCTATGTGACCGTTCTACTTGGATGTTTTGACAGTTCTACCTGGATGTCTGACAAGCATCAAAACACAGACAAAGTGAACACTGTTTCCTCCCCTCAAGCCTACTGAGTCTGTATGTCTACAGCTCAAGCCCTTCTCAAATGCTGCAACTTAAAGGTTTGTCTTTCTTTCTCACACCCAACTCATTAGCAAAACCTGTGTGCCTTATCCTCCAAATAATGCAAATCCAGAATCTGATCACTTACCTCACCTCCACTGCTATCCCCAGCCCCAGTCACTATCATCTCTTGCCTAGATTTTGTAATGACCTCTGGTCTAGTTTTCACTCTTCTACCTTTGGTCTGTCTCTAAGAGCGAAACTACAGCAATGTCACTCCAGCACTCAAACCCTCCACCAGCTTACCTTCCTTCGTCCTTAGCCCAGAGTGTGGCCTTACTGTGGCCTACAAAGCTGTCCTATGACCTGGCCCCCAATTACCTCTCTGATGTCATCTCTGACTCCTCTCCCTCTGTTCACTCTGTCCCAGCCACACCAGACCTTCTGTCTGGAACAATGTGCCTTGAGATAGCCTCATGACATACTCCCTCCCTTGTCACATCTCAGATGTCAGTTAGGTTTACCCTGATCACCCCATACAAAATACATTCAGTTCATTCATCCAATAAATATGTTTTGTGCATCTGTTGTATTCCAGGCACTGCTCTGTTTCCTGGGAATACAATAGTGAACAAAATAGGTTTAAAAAAAATCCTTGCCCTCATGGAGTTTATAAGCTACTGGGAGCTGGGGAGAAGAGGAGATGATAAACAAGCAAGTAAGTATAGTAACATTAGATGATGAGACATGCGTATCTAAATAAATCTATCTTTCTATCTATCTACCTCCCTATCTACCTACCTACTATCTATCTACAGAAAGAAACAAAGCTTAGTACAAGAGGAAGTAAATGCCTCAGCAACCCCAATCTCCCTAGCCTGTCTCCCTATCTATAATAATCACTTTCTAATATATTGTAAACATTTTTTGCTGTGATGCTGTTTCCTGTCACTCTCCAATGATAACGTACTCTCTCCAAGATAAAAGATTTTGGCTATTTTTTCCCTGGTGACTCCCAGAATGTCAAATAGTGCCCAGCACACAGTAAGTGGTCAATAAATATTTGTTGGAAGAACTGAATCCTACTAATTTCCTTCTTTTAAGTAAAAAACAATTTTTTAAGATAAAAGCACACCATCAGTTACAATAAGCACCCCCGATCAGTGCCAAGAATGGAAGGTAAATTACAACAGTTAAGAGAAAGAAAAAAAACCAGTGTTGGGGATAAAATACTACTACTACTTGTTTACAGTGTTTTCTAGGCTCTTCGAAGCATCACTTTCTAGCATGGCTGATTTTCTAGCATTCAAGTTGGAGGGCTCTGCCCAGCACCAATAAATGCCTAAGGACTCAGAACTGCTCTGATGGAATAAGAAGCTGGATGGATCCAGTAGCTTCTTCCAGCACAGAATACCTCTTAGCTTTTTTATCTCATTAAAAAAACAAAACAAAACAAAACAAAAACTTTGCCATGGTAAAGTTCAAGTTCTCTGAAAATACACATAGTAGCACACATGCCTCATACTATGTTTGTGGCAGAAAGACAGAACTTAGTTATCTATCCGATTTTGAGCTAAAAATTAAAACCAAATCTCAGTTTTCCTCATTTTAAAAGTGTTGATAAATACCAACCCTATTTATCTCACAAAGTTGTTACATATATTCATCCAGCATTTGACAAATATTTAATAAATCCTTGCTACACACCAGGCACTACTGTAAGGATATGTGTGAAGACATGAGACAAGAGTTTAATGCCACAGAAAACTATAAAAACCAAATTATGATTGATCACAATTATATTTGATTTACTCAACCCAGATGGCGCCTAAGTAACTGTACTTAGGAACCCTTCTGCAAAACTCTTGTATATCTAACTCTGAGAGAAAACAACTATTGTCCAAATAAATTGGCTTAATTTCCTTTCTCTTTAACAAAATTGTTAGTCAAAGAAAAATGGGCAAAATAAGTTGGGCTCCCATTATTATCTCTGCCTCTCTCCTGAGCCCCAGACAGTGAAGATGGTAATAAGAAATGAGGTAGCCCAAGGCAAGTAAAAAAGAAAGGAAAAACAAAGAGGCTAGATAAATTGATCTTTGCATAATCATGAGTTAATTAGTCAAGCTGATATCTTTTCCCTCAGGCCTTACTGCTTACACAAAAGCTCAGCCTAACAGAGAAAGCCATTTTGGTTCATCCATCTGTCCGGTTGGGGACAGCTTCAAGTTTTCCAGCTTCCCATTTTCCCTTCTCAATTTCCTTCAATGGAGAGAGAAAAGTGGAATTTCCAAAGACTCCTCTAGTGAATCACTTATTTCTGAATGCAAACTCTGTTTCTTATTCAGTTTATTCACAGGACAAAGACATGACAAGTACTCCAGCAGATCAGAACAGTTCCATTAAATATTCTACCACTGGGACGACACTAGGACTCAGAGGCTGGCTGAGGGTTGTCCTCAAAAAAGTGAAAACCATACAATACCCATTGTGTCCTATTTCTGAGAATAATGTATAAACCATAATTCAAAGAACACTTTAAAATTGGAAAGACAACTAGTTTCTATGCTCCTAAGAAAATAAGTGTTAAGCTGATGCTGTAGACTCAGGATATTTTCAATAAATATTCATCGATGCGGAAAGGAAAACAAATCAGCGGTAAAAATTTAGGAAAATAAACAGGAATATGGCTATAGAAAATTACCGGTTTGTTTGTATTCTCTACCGAGTCTCAAACACTACAGAAACTTTCTACCTTAATTTTTGATTGAAAGCATAATATTAATCTTTATCCCGTAAAAATGAAGTCTTGAAAAAGTGCCTTATTCTTCCATGTGAAAATAGTCATCTCGGAATTAGAGAAACAGGGACTGAACATGATGAGATTACAAGCCAGGGAAGAGTAACCTGGGCCTGGGCTCCTTCTTCCACACACGGGGGCCGATACCACCTGCCTCGCGAGGCTAGGTCAGCGTGTGGGGCGCCCATCACAGCGCCCGGCACGTGGCGGGCTCTCGGAAGAGGCCGGCTGCTGCGGCTGCTGTTTCAACCGCCATCGCCCAACCACGGAACACTTAAACCTTGTGGATTGATTAAAACTAACCAATACTTCCAAAAGATTAAACCTCCTCTGCAAACAGGAAAGAAAAGGGAAAAGGTGGGACAGTAGCCAGCCACCGGGACAGGGGAGCGCGCGTCTCCGGCTCCCCGCGCCCACCCGCAGCGACGTGGCCAGGCTGGGTGAGCTCTGCGGCCCGAGGCGGGGCGGGATTACGAACGCAGGAGAGCAGCGCAGGTGGAAGTTTCCGAAGCTTGGGGAGCTCCCACTGGGACCTGTGAGGAGGCTTTGGTTCCTTCCTGCGTATCAGTGTTAACTTCTATTTTGAGGCTAGAGAACGGCGCACAAAAAGCTGAAGCAGGAAGCTGGGGGCTTAGGGCTTAACAGGCATAACAACAGAAACAGGCAGAAGAGGAGAAAAAATAGAAGACATCAAGGTAGAAGTTCTATCGGGAAGTAAATAATGTGCATCGGGCTTGACTGTCTTTTGCACTTTGTGGAGGGTAAAGAACCCCAAGCATATTCTAGATTTTTCTTCCAACATTATTTCTAACAAAAGTGTATCAAAAAAAAATTAGCAGATGACATTAGCCAGTTTAAAACAAGAAACATAAGATGATAAACTGCCCTCCTAAGCCAGTATCCCACGCTCTTTTCCTGATCATATGTTAAACATAAATAACACGTTTTCTATTTCATCAATTCTCACATGATAAATCATTTCTAAAAAGCCAGTGCAAGGGGTGAAAGGGAGAAGAGACTTTTTCTACACCAACAAAAACCTTGCAGTTTGAAAACTGGATTATCGCTTAACTAATCATCGCAAAGGAATCTAAGCACTGAAGGGACTTGTACCAATTCACTCATATGGCCCTGTATCCGTGATAGCAAGCCAAATGCTCTAGCCATTAATGATTAAGTGATAACTATGGAAAATGAGAATAAAAAGACATGCCAATATACAGTTCCAGAATAGTAGCAAAGCTTGTAGTTTTACAATCAAAATAAAAAGTTACATTCCCAACCTTTGTTAATCTTTTCAGTTTAAAGTTATCTCCATATACATTTTAACAAAAACAACTTTTTAACCAAAGTTACTTAAATTCTAATTTAAGACCAGCTATGAGAAAAATACTTTAAAATGTCAGAGAACCGTAAAATATAACTTGATATTGAGAAAAATCCTTCTTTTGGTCTTTTGGAACTAAAGCCACCAGTATTTCAAATCTTTCTACAAGAAATATACTTAGAGCATTAGTGTAATTTTTTTCTCAAAAAGGGAGCAATTTCAGTTTTATTACTTTTGATAAGTAAAATCTATGATTAAGATGTAATTTAGAATTTTTAAGAATATAAACAAATTTTAAGCTTCATTTCCTAAACTGAAATGTTACTGCAAGTCCCAGGATCTACTCATAGCACAATCAACATGCATGACTTGCGTATAAGCAGGGAAGGAGAATTAATTTAAGATGTTCGACTTTGCATATGTCAGAACTAGAACAACTATCACAAAACAACTTTACAATCATTAAACGTATGGAATTTAAGTCACTGGAAGGGTGACTCCCCTCTCCCTGCTACGAAAAATGTGCTGAACCACTTTCACGGCAAGCGTAAAAGTCCCTGGTCTCTGCAAGGAATGAAAGAAAGCTGGCTTGACCTTAGCTGATAAAAAGGCTTAAAATGTTTTTAGGGCTTAAAATTTTCAAACCCCAAATACCAGTTTCCAAAACCAAAGAGGCAGCTGAATAAACTTTCAACTTCAGCCATTTTAAAAGCCAAGATTTCTAAGGTTACCAGAAGCTCCCTCCACCTACCTCAATTACAACTTCAGCAGTTCTAAGCACGCAGCTGCTTGCACATTTCTAAACCTAAAAACTGCATTCCTCTTCAGAGGGAAAATTATGACTAAGGGCCAAAGTCTTAGGACAGTATGAGGTGTCCTAGAGGTGAACAGAAGCTCACACCGTGAGGGTGGAAGGACATGGTGTTAAGTAGGGGAAAATCGAAGTTAAAGGAGAGAAAAATTATCCAGAAATGCAGTGGAAAGCAAGGGAATTGCTAGCCATGCTCTCCTTTTTACCTCTGAAAAACAGAGGACACGTGAGAAGGATTCAGACACATTGTGGCGGTTTGCATGCTTCATTATGAAACTCATAATGGTTTAGACTTCTTACAGTGTCTGTTAAGAAATGACTTAGTTCTTAAAAGTCTAGAATAAATAAGTGGTACCAGTATATTGTTTTGGAGTAAATTATGTCTCACTGTTGCCTATATTGTAAGATTTTTTTCAGTAATTATTCCAAAGGAACATAACCATACATTTCTCTTTATTAGAGGAGAGAGATTAATTTCCGCTAAGGTCTTGAATTTATACTGTCTCTCTTTCTCTCTCTATGATGCTTAGAAGGGTCTTTAAGGCTCTAGAGAGAAAGTAACAACTGAACTGGACCTTTACATTAGAGGAGCATTTTTGTTAATAATAATATTTACAATATTTAATTTATTACAGTAAATAGTATTTACAGAAAAGTAAATAGTCTGGTGGGGCTGGCATATGAAGTCCATGGCAGTGACTAATAGTAGGAGAGAGGCTTGAACGGTTCATCGGGTCATGCGAGAAAGTTTGGGCTTTATCCTGGTAGCAATGAGGAGCTACCAAAGTTTTTATTTTTTTAACTTTTATTTTGAAAAGATTTAAAGTCAAAAGAATAGCACAATAAATACCTATAAGCCACTGGTTAACATTTTGCCACATTTGCTTTATTTCTCTATGTGTGTATTTATCTGTAATCTTTCTACTTTTGCTGAAACATTTGAAAATTAGACATCCTGCTACTTGGACACGCAATCCTTCAGCATGTATCTCCTAAGAATAAGAGCTTTCTTCCATGACCGCAGTACCATCACCACACCCAAGAAGTTTAACACCTATCCAATTATATGAACTATTATGTAGTCCACTTTCAAAATTCCTGATTACCCAATAATTTCCTTCGTGGCTGTTTTTCCCCAATCCAAGATCCAATCAAGGATCACACGCTGCATTTAACTGTTTCTTCTAACTAGAAGAATCCCCCATCGTTTCCTGTTTTCCTTTCATGACATGGACACTTTTTAAGAATGCAGGCTAACAGCCCACAAGCTGGGTTTGTCTGGTTGTTTACTAGTGACAGGATCCACGTTAACCATTTCTGGCAAGAGTACCACACAGGTCATGCTGTGTACTTCCCACTGCATCACATCAGGAGGCACAGGTCAGTTTCTAAGCACAGACTTTTAAGGCATGGAATCAGTTTCCTCATTAGATGTATGTGTCAGATAATTTTGGCAACAGTGCTGGCATCTAGATGTTCCTGCCAAATATTTCCGGCAAATCAGACCGAAAAAGGAATTTGTGGTCTCTCTCTGTGTCCTCGGATATTCCTGACATGACGTTCTTATTCTCCCAGTATATACAGAGTTACATAGAAATTGTTTTTACTTTATCAGTCACTGGCTATGTCAACTCATGAGGGCATAAACATTAATTGATATAATTTGGTTGCAGGCATGCACTCACTAATTCATGGTTCCGCATATAGTATTAAGAGAAACTCAACAGCATATTAAGCTATTAAATCACACAGAAGTAGCTATGGCTTGCTATCAGTAAAAATGTGAACATAGTTTGTTTTCAGCTAAAGCCACAGACAAGACATTATTCTTATTCTAAATGCTATTTTAGAATTCCTAGCTTCAAACAGCATATAATGTGTCTTATGAGGAATGTACAGTAGAGGAGAATCTATTTTTCTTAAAGGAGCTCAAATCAGTACAAGGATGAGTAAAGAGGACCAACTTCATTAAGAGTATTAACTAAAATAAGGATCTCCCAGATTTGACTCTGTGGTTGAAAAAAAACTTTAATGCTTATTTCATAGTGTAACATAGATATATATTTTACATGTTAAATAGTAAATATTTTTAAAACTAGTAGATACAGTAAATGCCAAGACCCTTAAAAGAAGTTAGTAAAAAAGTCATACCTGAGTGAAAATATTATGCGTTTGGCTTAAAATCCATCTAGCATCAGCATCGGGTGCCACTAGTAATTTCAAGGTGCCAACATACACGTCAGAACACAAGGTCCAGAAGTGCTGCTCTTGTAAACTGTAAACTCCTTGCAACTGCTGTACCTAAAATATTAAAGAGCAGATATTAACATCAAATCAAGCATAAGGGTAACATCAAATCACGGATGGATTCCATCCTCTAGGGAAAAAAAGCGGGCGGGGGTGGGGATTTGAACTGATTAACAAATGCCTACTAAATACTTATTATGTGCTGGTACCATGACAGGTGTTTGGGAAATATAAATGAACATGTACCAAAACCTGCAGGGCACAGCTGAGAGGGTGCCTAAGGGACATTTACATTTTCAAATACAGTTGATCCCAGGAACAATGCAGGGGGTGGGGATGCCAACTCTCCCCTCAGCTGAAAATCCAAGGATTCAGCCAACCGTGGATCATGTAGTACTGTGGTATTTACCACTGGAAAAACAAAACAAAACAAAACAACCCATGTATAAGTAGAACGTGCAGGTCAAACTTGTGTTGTTCAAGGGTCAACTGTACACCGATCAGAGGACAAATATAAACACAATTGAGCTAAGAAACCAGGAAAAGAACAAAGTCAACTCAAAGAAATAAAAAAGAAGGAAATAAAGGACAGAAATCAATGATCCAGAGATTTAGAAATGACAGAATCCACAATATCAAAAACTAGTCCTTTGAAAAGATTAACAAGGTGGAGGAGTCAGTGTTTCATAATGGCACCGTATTTTGGACAGCACGATTATTCACTACGTACCACTGTTGCAAACCACAGGACCTCTGCATCCCCAGGACCCAGGGAAATAAATGCCAACATATACCCTTCCCCAACTCATATGACAACAAAAAAGGTAGGGATAGCTCTAAGTTCTTCCAATGGCTCCTTCAATTTTCTACAGCCTTAGGTTGAGAACCTCTGGCAAGATAAACTCTGATAGAGGTAAAAAAAAAAAAAAAGAAAGAAAGAAAGAAAGAAAAGAACATGCAATTAAACAAATTAAATTACAAAATTAAAGTACAAAATGAAAAATGAGAACAACTACAAACAACAAAGATTTTAAAAACCATAAAAGGGAATACCATATGAATATATCAATATATGAGTACACAAAGGATTACAACTGAGTGGAATCCAAACACTTCTCACCATCTCCACTGCTGTCAGCTTAGTTGAAGCCAGCGTTATCTCTGGTTTAGATTATTATAATATGTTATTACATGGTCTGTTTCTAGCCTTGCACCTCTTCATCTATCCTCAAAACAGTAGCCCAAGTGAGAGCCTGTTACTTTAGGTCAGATGCTTTCATTCCTCTGTTCAAAATCCTCCAGTGCATTCCCTTCTCACTCTGAACAAAAACCATGCTCTCCCAACGACTTACATGGACCCACGTCATGTGGCACCTCGTTATGTATCTTGTTTACCTCCTCTCCTGCCACTCCTCCCCTTGCTCCCTGTTCTTTAGCTACAGTGGCTGAAAAGTCAGGCACATTCCTGTCTCAGGATATTTGCTTTTCCCTCTGCCTGGAGGGTCCTTCCTTCCAGATTTCTGCATGGTCTAGTTTATTTGGGTCTTTACTTAAATGCCATCTTCTCAGGAAGCCCTTCTGCTGTTACCCTATCTAAAATCACAGTTTTTTTTAAATTTTTACACTTCTCTGTTTTATGTTTCAGCACATAACATCACGCACGACATTATTCATTTATGTTATTTATATTGTTTATTGCCTGTCTCCTCCAGCAGAACTCAAGTTCAAAAGGGTAGAGACTTATTTTTGATTTTTATGTTTTGTGCCCTCAGTATCTAAGACAGTGCTTGGCCCAAGTAAGTGCTCAGTAAGTAGTATATATATATGTGTATAAAATAAGTAAAAACTCAATTTTGGTGTTTGCTTTGGCAGCACATATAGTAAAATTGCAATGACACGGAAGTGATTCGTGTGGCCCTTGGGCAGAAATGGCATGCAAATTCATGAAGTGGCTTGAACTTGATACCCCTCCACACTTCTCTGACTAGCATCCTCACGGAGTGGCGTGCTGTTGGTGAAGCAGCCACCTGACTGAAGAGGCTTCTTCTACCTCCACAGAACTAGCCGTCCAGTACAGGCTAGGAAGGATTCCCACAGAAACTGGCTTTAACTTCCCTCCAGGTAAAACATGTGGGGACAGGGTAGTGACAGACGAAAATCCCTGCTGCTCTTCCTCCTCCGACAGTGTGACTCACAGAAAGAGCATGAGCTTTGCAGTCAGAGTGACACGGACTGGAGCCCTGATTCAGCTGCCAGCATCTGTGACCTTAGATGAGTTACTTAAATTCTCTGAGCCTCAATTTTACTCAGTTTTCCTAGGGAAAGAAAAATGAAACTTACCCTGTATGGTTAATGTGAAGAACAGAGAACAAATATGCAAATTATTTAGTATAAGGACCAGCCTGTAGTCGGCATTCAGTAAATTGCCCCTTTCTCTTCCACAATTATGCTGACAGGTCCTACCTTAAAATCATCACCACAAATGTCAGATGGGCAGCACCTTACCTTCCCTATCTCAAAAAAAACTATTCTACACCTTCTCCCTTTCCCCCTGGTCTCCTATTTCTCTGCATGATTACGCTGCCTTATAAATCACGGAGAAAATAGAAGCATGCAGACAGTCCCTTATCCTGCACCACCAAATCCACCAGTCAGCCCTCATCCATGTCACACCTTCTGCCTTCCCGCAGGGGATACAACACTCCTGGTTCCTATCTTCAATTAATTCCTCCATAGTGCTTTGGGTTCCATCCTTTTTCACCTTCTCAAGAACTTCATTGCTTCAATACGAAGCCTCCTTCACTACCACATCATCAATTTCTTCCTCTCAGTTGGACTGTTTCCTTCAGTAACAAACATGTTCCAGAACCGTGCTGTGCAATACAGAAGTCACTAGACACATGTGGCTAAATGCATGAGAATGAAATGAAATCTAAAAACTCGTGCACTAGCCACACTTGGGATACTCAATAGCCATGTTCCTTGTGACTCACCTACTGGATAATGTAGATTATTAAACATTTCCATTATTGGGGAAAGTTCTATGGGATGTTGTTCTAAAATACTTTATTTTAAAAACAAATATCCTCACCCCTCACTGTACCCATAGCCAAGCTATTAGCTCATTTCGTTGTTTCCTTTAACAACAACACTTCTTAAAAGGATTGTCTATAAACACTATCTCGACTTCCCCAATTCATTTCCTCCTTAATCTATTCAAATCATGTTTTCTCCAAACCCCACTGAAAGTGCTCTTATCAAGGCCATTAATGACGTGCAAGACGCCAGTCAATGATCACTTCTCTGTTTCTACCTTAATTGCCTCACAGAGATATTTGGCACAGTTGATTACTTCCTCCTTCTTCAACTCCTTCAGCTCCTTCTGAGTTTTCCAGTTCCCTTTCCTGGCTTACCCACCTGTGCTCTAAATCTGGAGTTGAAAGTTCAGCTAAAGAATAGGGTTTAATTCTCCCAAAGTAACCTCATACAATCCTAATGTTTTAAATGCTGTTCATACACTGATGACTCAAAACTCCGTCTAGTCCTAATCTGTCCCTAAAATGCCAGATTTGCATATCCAGCTACTCAACTGACAATTCCTCTAGAAGTATAGAAGGCATTAACATTTTTACATATTCAGAATAGAACTCCTGATTTGGGAAAATCTTCCACCCTTGAACCTGCATGAGTCTCAACAAATGGTATTAGCATCCACCCAGCTACAAGTTAATACTTCTTCTCCCCTTTCCTATATCACCCACCCCCAAAAACTCAGCCAAAACCTGTACTTAGCTCCATCTTCACTGCTCCCACTATAGTCTAAGCCAAGAATTTTCCACTTAGATGTTAATAGCCTCTTATCTGGTTTTCTTTGCTTTCATTCTCCCTAGAATTTATTCTCTAATGGCAAGCAGACTAAACTTTTACAAAGTTAAATTTTATGACACTCTCCCTGCTAAAAGCTTTCTAATGCTTCCCACTGAATGAGAATTAAATCTAAACCAAGTAGGACCAAAACCGCTATGTGATCTGGCCGCTGCCGCCCTCTCCAACTTTTCCAGCCACTCTTCCCTTCATTTATTATGCTTCAGCCACAATGACTTTCCCCCCTGTTTTTCAAACACACTAAATTAGTTCCAGCCATAGAACTTTCTGCATTAGCATTTTCCTTGCCTGGACACTCTTCGCCAAGATTTTCATATGTCGAGCTCCTTCTTGTCAACAAGATTTAAATTTCCTTAAATATGACTTCCTCAGTAAATGCGATGTAGCCATCCAAGCCTACCGCATCACTTCGTCTTATTTCTGTTATAGCAATCATCGCTGGTACTTTCTCATTTTTGACTTATTGTTTAGTGCCTGTGTTTCCCCACCAGGCTGTAAGTTCTCTGAGAACAGAGATGCTGTCTATCCTGTTTACCACTACATCCCTAGTACCTTAGAAGAATACACGGCATAAAGGGAGAGCTCAAAAAATATATGTTGAATAAATGCTTATAGTATCTGCTATTCATAGTTATATTTTAAAAGAGTTGCTTGATTTCTAGATGAGGAAAATTTCTACACATTTTCTTTAGTGAAGCTCAATATTTTCCAATGCTTTTATTCTGGTTTGTATAAATGGCATTCACGGTCAGCAACTCAATCCTGGAAGACATACTAAATTATACACACATGCTACCCATATTTGTAAAAGTTAAAACCCCGAACAGCTTGGAAACAACTAAAAGCCAATGGTTTGGAAGCTTTGAAACTTACCCTCTGATAGCACTGAGGCAGAGTATTTTCCAAAAAAGGAGGAGTTCTCTGCATTAATATTCCAACAGATTCTCTTAAAAGAGGAATAACACTAAAGAGAAAAAAGACAACAAACTTATTAAAGCCACATTCTGAGGATCCTGTCCTCCAAGTACAAGTACACCCCCCGACAGTAGAATATTTACTAGAATGATGTGAGGAAAAAGATCCAATCATTGTTCTAAATTTTTCATGTGATAAATTATTCTCTAAAGTAGATAAAATGTATCAACGCATGAAACACTAACCTCATACTGCTGAATAGTATGGGAGCATCTAAAAATCTAAACCCAGCAATCGCTCAACTGTCATTTAAAGTATGACTTCAAATAGCTAGAATCTTCCAGGATAATCTATAAAGCATATCATGGCCAACAGGTCCTTAACATTTATCAAATATTTACATGCATTTATCTGAACAGCACTGTTAAAGAAAATACAAAAAAAATTCACCTGGTATATTAAATCCAATATTTCATTCATTCAGTATTTTTGCAAACCGATGATTTATCAGTCTTCTTTGATTGTTAAACAATATATAGGAGCCTGGTCATAACCACAGAGCTAGTGAGCCAGCACCTCTAGGGACAGGGCCCAGAAGTCTATGTGAACTGATGTAGCTGGTGCTCAACTGGCATGTGGAAATTACTGCTTTAGGCTATTCGGATGATTAAATGCACACAAAACAATTAATGGTGTAATGGTGAGGGTGACTCTAATACAGTAGTTTTATAAACTAGCTACACATCAAATTCACCTTGGAGTCTTGTTTGTTTTCTTTTCTGACATATGGAATGAGAATCTTTGAGGGAAGCCTGAGGCACCTGCATTTTTAAAAAGCTCTGCAGGGGAGCGCAGTGAGCCAGGTACGGCGGCGCTCTATGGTTTGCAGCAGACTGAGACGGGAGGTCAGGAACAGCTTCATTACACTTACTAGCTTAAGCCAGTGTTTCTCTTAGACCTGTAGAATCTCAGAATTTCCAAAGTAAAGCCCCTCTTGATCAGAGCTGTAGGAGAAAGATATATACACACACACACACACACCTTCTAAGGAAGGTAGAAGTTGAAGTGAACCCTAAAGGCCAACTGGTATTTCGGACAGACGGAAAGGAAAGAGAAGATCCCAGTGAAGACTCAGAGGAGAGAGCGATGCTCGCCTTGCTCATTCTCATATCCCCAAGGAGGCCTAGAAGAGCGCTGGTCACCAAGTGGGCCCACAGTAAATACCTGCTGGTTAAATGAATGATAGGCATGTGGATGTCAGATGTTTTAGAATCTAGATTAAAGAAAGGAAAGGCCACAGGGAAGGAATTGGAAGACTGTTCCCATACCTTGTGTACAGTGATAAGTGCTTGGACAAGGAGGGTAAACACAGGAACAGTACTGAGAGATGCTGAGAAAACAGCGTCTGACTGGATGTAGCGAAGACACAGTGAAGTGACACCAAGGGCAAGCTCAGAAAACGGAAAGTGTGGACGGGATGGCAGTAATGAATATAAAAGCTCAAGGTGGACAGGAGTTTAAGTCACATTCAAATGAAAATATTCTTCAGTCAGACAGTGATTTATGCAGCAAGAATACTTAAGAGGCCACCCTTAATTGCTTCTTCTCCTTTAAAACCCTCATGCTCCAAATCACCAAGTGTTCATGGTTTAACATTCTAAATATTTCCTGACTCCATCCCCTCCCCTTCATTCTATTACGTTATGTCTACAATAATCCTCCACATCTTCACTTGGATTATTATAACAGCCTCCTAAGTGGTTCCTTTGCCTCTAGTCTTCTTTCCTTAAGTCCACTGTGACAGGCAGCTTCGCAGATGGATCCCAGTGACCCCTGCCTCCCTAGCATTCCTGCTCTTGTGTAACCCCAACTCCTTGAGTGTGGGCCGGACCTAGTGACCTGCTTCTAATGAATAAAACATGGCAAGGGTGACGAATGTCACTTCTATCTTAAAGGACTCTGGCTTCCATCCCGCTCACCCTACTCTGTCGCCCTCTCACGTGCTGGCTCACAGCTGCCATGTTGTGAGCTGTCCTGTGGAGAGGAACTGAGTCCCACAGCCCAGAAGAAACTCAGTCCTGTCGACAGCTGCTTCAGTGAGCTTGGAAGTGGATTCTCCCCAGACGAGCCTTGGAATGACTGTAGCCCTGGCTGACATCTTGACTGTGACCTTGAGAGAGCCTGAGTCAGAGAGCCCAGTTAGCCATGCCCAGGTCCCTGAACCAAGACAAAGATAATAACGTGTATTATTCAGCTACCAGGTTTCTGTGTAATTTGTTATGCATCTATAGATAACTAATACAACCATTCTAAAAGAGCTGCCAGACTAACCTAACTAAAATCAATACCTAACTCTATCTCTTCCTCAGTTAAAAAAAAAAACCCATTAAAAGCTCCCTACTGCCGCGGGGATTAAGTGTAAGCTCTTGCATCTGGTGTCCATTTTGATCTGTCCCCCTCTAGCTCATCTCTTATCATTCTTGCTTCACATTTCGAGCTCTGTAGAACATAAACAGACTTGCACTTTACTTTCTGCTCTTTGCTCTTTCGTGCTTTGGCTCATGCTGTAACCTCTGCCTAGAACTGTCCCTAAACTGCCCTTTAGTCTGGCTTCCATTCCTTCTTTAAAATTTCAAGTGCCACCCCTTTTCGGGCTTATTTCCTGATTCTAAACTATCCTCCAAACTGCATGAAATGTCCTCTCTGTGACACCTAGAGTAAGGCTGGAGGAAGGATGGAGGGAAAGCAACTGGAAGTGGAGTTAAGGATTTTGACAGGGAAAGAACATTGTTTATTCCGGCATCTAACCTGAAGATTACTGTCTGTTTCTAACTACTGTGCTATTATTGAAAAGGTGAGGTCCCCCTGGGTTTACAAAAAAGGCAAAGAAAAACATCATGATAGAGTAATAAGGCACAATTCAACCATTACGAGGTTTTTATTTCCTCTCTCCATCCTCACGTCTCAGGAGAAAGAAAGGCTCAGTCACTGAATGTTTTTATAAACCTAATTTACAATCTTCATGTTTTCCTACTTCCCTTATTCTTCTTCTCAGAAAATGAGGCACAAAATGGATCCCCTAGAACAACTAAGAATAAGAAAAAGTATTTTTTCCCACATGCCTACTACATTTAGCTATTTTGATCATTTCTTCTCCAATCTTTATCTCAAGATACTACTAATAATGCCTGGAGATAAGTGAGGTGGAAAATCATTCAAATGGAAATCATGAGACTTGGGTTCTAATTATGCCATTAAGTAGCTTCAGATGAATAGTACAACTTTCCAGAGCATCAGTTTTTTCATCTATAAAATGAGGGAATGGATGAAATATCTAAGCAATTTCTTTAATTTATTATCATTCAATAAGGAAAAATTGGTCAAGCCACAAGGAATACTACTAGAGAGAGAATATATTTGGAAATGAAAGAAAATATAAGCGGGCTTTTATATACTAAAACAACAATAACACACAACAGCATCACCAAACAGACAGGCTTGGCAAACCAATTTAACCCATTACTAACGGGGGAATCCTGCAAATGAACTTCGTTACACAACCAATACAGATAAGCAATCATTAAGCACTACTCTTGGCTGGCATCAGGTTTTCTAGAACCAGATGGAACCTTACTCTAGCGTCGTGGAAATGGAGGCCCACTGCACCGAAGTAACTTGCCTAAGGACGCAGCTAGTGAACGGGAGAGCCAGAGTGGTAAGAGCAGGTCTTCTGACGCCAAAGTTCAAGTCAACAAGCACACACTGTACACCGACCGTGAGCCGGGCACTGCGAGGCCCCAGAAATAACAGGGTAAATAATACACAATACCTCCCTTCAGAGGAACTCAAAACCATTGAAAAAGCCTGTAGAAGTTGATGGAAATCAGGCAACAAACTTATTTAGGACCCACCATTTGGAAGAAAGCACATGCGAATTCAAAACAACTGTACACTCAGCAGGTATCCATTTTCATTTCCCATGAACTTTTGGTGCATTTTTTTTTTAATTAGTATGCTGACAACTTACTCTCAGAGATCACTCACTTTAACACTCAAGAACCATAATGTAGATAAATGTTTTAATAAAAATAACATTAGAAACAAGCACTTACTTTAAAATAAATTAAAGATATCACTGATATGAGGAAATGACTGAGGTTTTGACTGATTTAGATAACATTAGACAATGTGGAATGGTTGCCGGCTTAGGTACATAAATGTTTACATTTAATAGCAGCAAGCATTTCACCAGAGCACATGGAAGTATCACACTAACTTTCTCCAGTAAGAATTTTAAAATGCTGTTAAGAATTTCTGCTGTAGGAGCCATAACCAGCTCATGAAACTGGGGTGGGGAGGAAAAGGTGCTTTCTATATTATGTGATAAGCAGTTTAGAATGAAGGTCAATTTCTATAATGACCTTGAAGGTTATAAAAATGTAAAAGAAACCTATAGAAACTATACTTTTGCTTTTTAAAATTGTGTTTAGCTCAGGACTTTGTGTCCATGTTTTTCTGATTAACTATCATACTAGGGAATCATAAAACAGATTTTAGTGTGGATCTATCTAGCCATAATGAAAGGATATGGGGAAAAAAACAAACTTAGCAAATTCCTGACTGAGCTAATACTTAGAGCTACATCCAAACCCCAAAAGTAAGCATTTGGAAACAATTAGAGGTTCACTTCTGGTTGACTAACTCAATCCTAGCTTTAACAATGAAATACTATTCTCCTGGCATACATAAAAAGAATGAGTTATTAGGTACATGAGTTTACCAGTAAAACATGGTAATAGTTTCATTCCTCAAAAGCTGAAGGTAAATCAAATTTATAATCATATAATCAGAAGCATAAAATTAATGTGAAAGCTTAAATGCTTGCAGACTTAAAAAGCTAGAGTAGTTATTATTCTTTATTGCCAGTAACTTTGTAAATAAAAACACATTTACATCTTACTTCAAAAGCAGCTTTGAGTCAGTCTCACCATTTCAACAGTAAATAAAACTATTTAGCAATAATTTTAAACAAACCAAAGGGCATACCTT